CAGTATAGAACATATTTTCTGCCTCATTCTGTGACAAGAAGCCACATCAGATCACAAAAGGAAGCAGTTGTGGAGTAAAAATGTTATAGTGTTCTCTTTTGCTGGACAACAGGTTTAGAAACGCTTCTCATTTGCAAGTAATGTCAAGGGAAGTTTAGCTTTAGGCATTTTAATTTAAGAATGTTTAGCTTAGCTAGCTGACGGTGTCTACCTGCTGCCATCAGAGCAAGTGTAATAAATACTGCATTCACGTGCTCCTCGGATGCTCTCATTTCCCGAGTTGTGCTTTTAAGTCAGAATGGACACTTGCGTTACTACAAAGATGTGTTGGATTTGTATTATTAGAGCTTTCCGACTTGCGTTCGTGAATTTTCTCAGTCAGGAAATTATTTTTCACGTGCGGTGCCTTACGTCCGTTTCGGAGAACCAGAGAACAGATATTTAAATAGATTGCTCAAGCATTTAAGTGGCACTGAAATGAGGCACCGAAATCTGCGTTCTGATTCGGTTCTAGTACATACCGGTTATTAGGGCCTTTCGCATCACCGGGGACCTTTTCATAGTACCAGAACTAATTGTGGAACTACCCACTTTTTGGCGTTTCGCACCGCCGGAACTGGGTGCGATTTTAGTACCGGACTGCCTTTTTCGAGAACCAAATTAGCTCGTACTCCGGAGGATTCGGTTCTAGTACATACCGGTTACATCGGTACCGGTGCCATATTGGTACCGGGTTTCGGTACCCAACCCTAATCAGGGAGGGATTTTTGTTTGTCGTTTTAATTTTAGTTTCCATTCATTTTTCTATACCGTATTTTTTTTTATCGCGTTGTTTCATGCACATTATTTTTTTATTATTCTGTAGCCATTTTTTATTATTTTATTATCTATTATTTTTTCATTAGGTGTTTATGTAGCCTAGACAATAATAATCTTTTACATTGTAATCCTTTAATTTTTAATATTTGGCATGTTTGTGTGCTGCTGCTGTGTGTGTAATAAGCAGAGTGTACGCGTGTTGTGGACCCGCCTATAGTTATAATATTTTATAATTTATAGTTACATAATATTTTAATATATCATTTAGTTATCAACTTCATTTTTAGATGTTTTTCCCAAAGTTCCAAATAATGAACTATTAACTATTGTCATGCAGTAAAAGTATAGAGCTGTAAAATGAAAGTGGATCAGCTCAGAGTTCATGTCGAGATATATTCATATGTCAGTTGAATGCATCTCTCGCTGGGTTTCTCGTTTCAGGCACAAACACGATGGCTCTTCTGGAGAAGCTGGAGTCGGGAAGTGTTTACCTGGTGAAGATCTCGGCCTCTAACCAGGCGGGAGACGGCCCGTTCTCCAGCACCGTAGAGCTGCGGCTCACGAGCGAAACACACCTGGGAAAAAACATCCCGCGTCACGCCGAGAAAACAGGTGCACCTCACACATCAAACCCGAGAACGAGCCATGCATTGCTTTTTCTTCAAATTAAAAAAAAATCTCACTGTCTCTCTGCCTGATATTATTTAATAATATATATAAGTATTAGGGATGTAATGATATCAAAATCTCACGATACGATAATATCGCGATATGAAGTCCACGATACGATATTTATCGCGGTGTTTAACAAAAGACAAATTAAGAATTGGAATTTTTTTTTTTATTTTGTACATTTTACAGTTAAATTATTCTATCTAATGCACTTTGAGAGCTCAAAAGTAAGAGCTTCAACCCATGTTTCTTAACTAAGAAAACTTAAGTCAGAAAAAAGTCAGTGAATTGAACTTTAAAGGGGACTCAAGCCTCTTTTTATTTATTTGTGATATACACTGTCTCAGTCTAAATTACACTCACACTGGTGTTTTAGGAAGCCAAACAAATTAGAATAGAATATAATAATAACAACAATGACAGTAATAATAGCCATATGCTGTAAAACACTTGCACTGTAAAATAAATGAAAACGCATATTTCATAGGTATATTATTTTAGTTTTACGCTACAGTAGGGAAATTACAATACTTCTTTCCTAATTTCTACACTTGAAGAGATATTGTGAATTTGGACTGCATTTAAACCACTAGCTGTCAGCGATTCATATACTGCACTTTTAGCTTTTATTTTGACAGAAACTCCAGCTTCAGTGAAAACAGGCTTACAAAAACACGTCTCACTACAAATCTAGCGAAACGCTGTAATCATCTGCTACTAAAAATAAAGCCTAACTAAACTAAAGGAGTTGACTGCATTCATTCAGTGTGAACGAGTCGTTCTGAGACGCTGAAAACACCGGATCACGAGCTGATCGTCTGAACGAAGTGTGCGCTTCACTTTAAACACGCAGCGCAAACAGACTTGATGAACAGATGAAGACACATATTGTGCTTTCAGTTCGAGTTCGTTTGACAGACACTGTGCCAAAGCATAATGCCCCAAAACACAACTCTAAAGACCTCTTATGTTAGAATAAGACTTTAAATATATTTTAAAAACTACACTTTTTGCTCGGAAGACCTATCGTTTCATATCGTCATGTGACCGCGATAATATCAAAACAGTTTTGCTATCGCGATACCACGATATTAATAATATCGTTACATCCCTAATAAGTATAATTATGTAACATTTCAATTATTTACCTATTTAATTCTGCATTATAGCAGAAATGTGTTTTGTATATTTTAACCAAGTTATATACCATTTCTGCAGCGTTTATAGACGGCCTGTACCACATGGATGAGAAGTCCATGACCGGCATCATCGTTGGCGTGTGTATCGCGCTGTCCTGCATCTTCCTCTGCATCTTCATCCTCCTCACCAAGAGCACAACACAGTGAGGCTTCAGCATCATCATCATCACTCTGTGTTTGCAGAACATAGACAACTAAACTAGATGGAAAATGAATGAGGCTGATGTCGTTGACTTGTAGCCACAATCTAAAACGATGTTTTCTCTCAGCAGGAAGTCTATACCTTTTTAGACAATGTGAACAAATCGTTGTTGTGTATCTGTGCTCAACTCAATTAGAGCCATGCGCTGCTGGCTAATTTAATCAAGTAGAGTATCCTGTTACTTCTTAGTCATGCACATCTTATCTTACTGCAGCAGCATCAGGCCAACAAGCTCATGACATCAGAGTTTTAAAACAATTGTTGCATTTGCACAGAATCAGGAGCTGCATGATTTATGCATTATGCATCATTTACTTTGGGTGTTTCTTCAACTATAGGTAACAAACATTCTCAAAATAAATATTGATTTAATTTGTCTATTAACACATTAAATGGTTAATTTATTTGTAATAATATTTAAATATAAATTTTTAAGTTGTATGGTAACGGTGTTATGCTATTATATATGTGTGTGTGTGTGTGTTTAGTAATTTTGTTATGTGATTGATTGTCATTTTTATTATTTTATTTTTAAATATTACTATTTAGGTTTAATTTATTTTATTTCAGTTTTAGTTCCATTTGAGGTTTTTGAGGTTTTATATATAAATAAAAATAAAATAATATGTATATATTTATAAGTTATAAATAATATTTATAATTTAATTTATTTCACCTCTATTGTAACAAAAATGTTGTGTTATTTAAGTATAATTGAGATAAT